ATCTTTCTTACGAGCTGAATGGCGGCCCAGATGCGGGGCCGCCTCGGGCGCCTGAGAAGCCGTCATAGCGAAAGAAAAGGCATTACCGCCGGAGCAAAGAAGCTAGTGAATAGGTGTACTGCAGTTATTTTCGTTGAAACTTCTGAATGAGTTGGTTGCCGCCTTGGAGCTGGCGCAACGCCTGGAGACTGAGGATGACTCTGTCAGGATCGCGGCAAAAACATTAGCGAGCCATTAGAGCTTGAACTAGAACAACTCCCCCTAAGAAAACAAAATGGAAAGAATAAATAAAATCTTTGTAATAATTTTCGATGACATATATTTTAACAGCAGAAGGTCACACTTGCCTCTGCAGAACATGCATGCACAGCGAGCCAGTAGCGTAACGGCCCCACACGAACTGCTGGGCCCTACAGTGTACGAGCTCGATCTGCTAGAGCAAAAAAAAAACTGAAATCTTCTGGAATATTCAAACCACTTCGCTTTACAGCCTGAAAGTCAACTAAGGGATTCCTACGGCCGCCTGTGGGCCCCACCGCCTCTACCAGGACCTGCTGTACCCCCCAGCAACTCTTCTGCTCTACTACTTGACCTAAAATATTCCACTACAGTTCCCCTACTCTACAGTAGCTACATCAGAACAAATGCCCAACGGCCCAACAAGACAACGCTTGACTTTTGTCTCGCCCCCCGGCGCCAAGCACTTAAACCAAGTGGAGCAACAACTCCAAAGTCTTTCTTAAAAAAAAAATGACGAGCTGCCCGCCCAAATGCAAGACATAGCCGGCGTAGCACTGCAACCAGATGAGCTAGGCTCTCCTCAGCGGCAAAGCCACGGCTACAGCTGCATTGCCACTAGCAGAACTGACCAAATCCCGAACTGCCAGTGGTGCTGAATTGTAGCTAGAGTACAGCTGAAAGGAATAACTGCTATTCTCTTCGGCTGAAATCTAAACAAAAGGATGCCACTACGGTACAACTATCCACGCCATGAGGCCGTCAGACAAATGCCTTGACGAATCAAGAAGACAATGAAGGGCAAAAACTGCGCTCCTGTCTCTCATCCTCGTCATCGTCTCATCAAGTCGGTTACAGGCGCATGCATGCATACTTTATATATAAACATAAATATCAAACGGCATCAGTGTAACTATGACAAGCTGCCCTCAGCTATAGCGGGATCGGCAACGCAGCGCCAGAACGGAACTGCGCCCCAGAACCCTCAGGAAGCACAGATATGCATCATATTGCCGAAACAAATCAAAGAGGAGCTGCACCACTTATTGAATTAAGTATTTAATGCACAGCTAGTAATTAAATTAATAAATATTTAATATTAGTAGCTGTGTAGTAGCATCGTCAGACAAATGCCTTCTTAGGAA